AACATCCAGTGAGCGGCAGTTCTCAGGATCAGTTTCTCTTGTTGATGCCAGAGGTCAGAGGAGAATGGCCAGACTGTTTTGGAGCTGATAGAAAGACAACAGCAACTCAAACAACCACATGCAGGAGCGCGTCTCCGAACGCACAACACGCCGAACCTTGAAGCAGATGCGGCGACAGCAGCGGAAAACCACAGCGGGGAGCCGCTCCTGTCGGCTGAGAAACAGGAAACTGAGGCTACGATTCGCACGGACTCACCAACATTGGACAATAGAAGATTTAAAAAAAAACAACGATGCCTGGTCTGATGAGTCTCGATTTCTGCTGCGACATTCAGATGGTCGGGTCAGAATTTGGCGTAAATGACTTGAAAACATGGATCAATCCTGCCTCGTATCAACGGTTCAGGCTGCAGGAGGTGGTGTAACGGTGTGGGGGATATTTCCTCAGCACCAACTGAGCGTCATTTAAACGCCACAGCCTGCCTGAGTGTTGTCGCCGACCACGTCCGTCCCTGTATGACCACAGTGCACCCGTCCTCTGATGGCTACTTCCAGCAGGATAACTGATTCACTGAACTCACGTGGCCTTCACCGTCATCAGATCTCACTCCAGCAGAGCATCTCTGGGACGTGGTGGAGCGGGAGATTCACATGCTTTCATGTCAATATGGATCAAAACTGAGGAATGTTTCCAGCACCTTGTTGAAGCTGAAGAAATTAAGGCAGTTTTGAAGGTGAAAGTGGGTCCAACCCGGTACTAGTGAGGTGTACCTAATAAAGTGGCTGGTGGAGTGTATATGCAAGTGTAAGACTTCCACAGTTGTCAATCATTCATGTACTGCACTTGATATGTTTCTACATGTATCACTGACTTGAAAAACAAAGTTTAATATTAGTCTCAGTCACAGCTGGATCCACATCCATCCTTCTATTATCCCCTTAACAATACTCCGGTTCCCGATAACCAATTATGCCTCTTATGGCCTCTCAAATAACTTTAATCACTGATCAGGATTCCTCGTTCACAAAGCAGCTACTTAAAAGTAATTGCTCAATAAAGAGAGGGGAAGTTGTCGTATTAAGTAGGTGTTCCTGCTGCTCCTCTCATTAGCGCTCACTTGGAGCCTTCAGCTCCCTGTTGTCACAAATGGAGTCGGTTTCATTCACAGCACAGAAGCTGTTCTCGCTCTTCCTGGTTCACGCTGCTTCAGAGCAAGACGGCGAAAGCCCCGCGCAGAACAGAAAGTCCTCAACATTTCAAACCCGCGTTGATTTTGACTTGTTAGAAATAGCCCCAGCACAGAGCCGGGGGTTCGGATTTTCTGGCGGCGGGATCACCGGCAGCTTTTCAATAAACACATTATAACAGCGGGAAGCCAGTGAGGGCTCTGGTTGTGAAACTGGGTGAAAAAGACGCAAAATAAAAAGCTCGGAAAAGAAAGAGAGTGGCAGAAAAAGCTCCTGAGCCTCACCTACGAGTGACGTTCATCATTTTCTGTTTCTACAGATCTTCACTATTTTAATATTGAGCATATTTTCCCCCCAGATGTTTTGTCACTGTTTCACTCCAGTTGAGCAAAAAGAAGGTCGTCATTTAATGAGGACAGTTTAGAAAAATCTTCTGATGTAAAAACAAACAAACAAAAAAGAGAAAAGTGGAAAAATAGAGAGAAAACACAGTTGACATTTAATTAAAAGTCTCTGTGTTTGCACTTTAAATGGCATTTCTTTCTTTAAAATTCACTTTTTGTATCACTTAGATTTTTTTTTTTTTTTTTTTCTCCTGAACTTCAAATTGTCATGTTTTGGAAAGTTCAGGTTATTTTCCTTTGCTCACTCTCACACTGTCTTTAAGTCATCATCTCCATACTTATTTAAATGGCATAATGCTGATCCAAACTCCCTCCTGATGGCACCTGCACCACTGAGAAATACTGTCGGGGCAGGAACCGAGTCCAGGAACCAAAACTAGGTGCTCGGTTCCTGTGGTCGTGGGAATGCAGGTGAAAATACCACGTTCCTAAAAAGGTTCCTCGAAAAAGTTCCTGCAGTAAACACACACACAGTCACTTGACCCCAGACCCAGTGTGTTGCTGGCTGCTTCGATAGTCTTTACATTACGCGTTAGCTGATGTTGCACATGGATAAGTTGTATTAACACTGCAAATAAGCAATGTTCAATTAATGAGTTAATTAATTTTTATTGCACTTTTGCACATGGTGTTTTCTGTGCTGTGTGTTGAATGTATTTTTACTGCAAACTAAATTTACCTACAGATACAAATAAAGCAGTTTGTAAGCATCAAAACTCTTTTGCATTTCAACGTGTTAAACGTGAACACTCGTCCAATATAATGATAATGATATGATGTTTTTGTAGCAGCATCCAGGGTCCGTGTTTCGTTTGTGCTTGGGCTGAAGGACGCGCGATGTGATGCACGTTTTGCAACTTTTTGTCGATCGACAGCTCGTGGCGATGCGACACGCAAAGAAGTGTAGCAATGTGGCTCCGGCAGCAGTGAAGAAGAAGACTGTGATGCAGCAAACATAGATGCGAACAATGCAGAGTTCTAAACATGTATAAAGTCTGCTTTGCAGATGGTTCACGAGGAAGGAAATGCTGTCAATATGTTCTGCGTCACTCATTCACGCAACGTCGAGTTCTGAGGAGAAACTTTTTACAAAAACAAGATACAAGGCATCTTTTAAACCTTGAGGTTGCAGCTTTAACTGCCTTTTATGATGTGCCTTATGTGATAATTGTTCAGCCACAGCTATTAAAATGTACATGTGCATATTATGAACATATCTCCAGTGTGTTGAAAGGCTGTGTTGTAACTGCTCTCAGGCCTTGGTGATTTGAGTTCCCACAGTCTTGTGAAGACAGGTTCCACATTTTGCTCGATGAAGTCAACAAAATAATCATTATTTGAACGTACAGAATATTCGAAAAGGCACGGCTAAAGATCATCTGGGCATCAGCAGTGTATTTTCTAAAGGAAGGATATTTCCTTTCATGGATAAATGTTAAATCGTGGACATACTGTAAGCTTTAAAATGACATGCCACTTCATTTAAAAGGCTTGTATTAAACGACTTTCTGTGCTGACCCCAAATCAGCCACAAACAACTTCAACCGCCGTTTATGAGAGAAAATGATTTTTGCTTGGAAGGACTACAGGGAATACAAACTCCTGCTAGTGATTGAGTCTTACATTAGCATATTAACACATTTCAATCCTAAGTGACTGGCGTGATGACAGATGCGAGGAAAACAAGGTCGAGGGAGAAAATAACCAGACGGATCCTTTCAGCGAAGATGCTTAATGACCCCTGTTCCAGCTCCAAGTCCTGCTTTCCACTGTTCCACATACGAAACTCTAAGACCTTTTCAATAAAACATGCGTCTCTGAAACATTTACAACTTGTGTGTTTCCTGAAATGATGAATCCAAAACATCTTTGATGTTCGAGAGAAATGTACATGAAACTTAATGTTTTAATTCTGTGTAAGCCACAAGTTACAAATGACTTATATTCTGGTAAAAAGGATCCGTGCAGGATGGGAGGGGAGGGGAGGGGAGGGGAGGGAGGGGAGGGAGGGGAGGGAGGGAGTGAGGGAGGAGCGGGGCAGCGCCTTGTTGTCGAGCAGCATATTTTATTCTCCCTCCCAGAGGTTTAGAGGAGCTCTTACACTCTGGAGTTTTAGCGGAGGTCACAAGGTTATTATATAAACAATTCACATTGAGGCCCTCAAGCACCCAGAGGGGAATGTTTAATGCAATGCTCACAATTTCTGCAATGTTGTAATGCTCAAGACGCAGACATGTGTCCAATTTTAACCACGCTGCATTATCTCTCCATGTTCACTTTTTCTTTTTCTTTTTCTTTTTTTTTTCTCTTTCGGCTGTTTTGTCGAGGCAGCTGAAAATCATGCTTAATTAATTTGGTCAGCTGCCTTGGATAAACTACATTGATGACATCAATTAGATTCTAATGAAAACAGATAAAAGCCATGGAAAGCAAATGGAATTTCTGAACAGAACTCATCAAAGTCTTAGCATTGGAACAAATTCCCATTACGTCTCATAAAAGCCTTTAATTTGCAAAGCTCATGTTTGGTTTGGTACTTAGAAGTACATGGTCAAATGATTCAGTCTTAAGTCCTGTGCCGAGAGAAGCCAAATCAGAATTTAATTTGGCACGTAACTCCTTATCCTGTCTGAAACATGTGGTTGGATGCAATCCTTGGATTAGCGCGGACTTTAGAACTACGAATTTGGCTTGTTTCTCCTCCTCTGGCAGAACAAACACCTAGTGTAACCCGTTTGTAACACAACACTTACATTTCCAATCTCGGGGGGAAAAGAAAAACACACACACACACACACACACACACACACACACACACACATTACTCCAGATTAGTACTTCTTAGTTAACCAAATTGCTGCAATTATGTGTGTCAATCCGTTGACGTGGGATGAGGAGGCTCCGTTTGTTTCTCTCTAAGTCTTTGTCTTTCTTTTGTAATAACAGTGTGAACTATTTCCAACGTCAGTGAAGTGATTTTTACAGGTTCTCACTGATATTGCAAGACAAATTATGATTAATTAGATCAACATGGTGCTATCGCATATTAATAACACAAACAGTTGTTGTTGCACTTGCACATGTGCACATTCTCCACACACAGCATGATGCTGCCCAGTCACGTCCATTCATATATTTATACACAGTGTGCATTTAGTTTTATTGTTTTGCATGTTTTATTAAATGTATTGTTTTCTGCACCTGTGGCACTAGTTATTCAGAATATTAGATGAATGATTTAAAAAATTTATATTCATTAACTTTGGTGTAAATTCACTGGTGTCTGTTCCTTCAGAACTGTGACAGTTTAAATGTAGAAAAAAGGGGAAGTATTTAATAAGCTGTTTTTTCTGTGTGTGTGTGTGTGTGTGTGTGTGTGTGTGTGTGTGTGTGTCTCCATCCCAACAGACTACCCTCCCCCTCCACCACCTGCCGAGGAATCAACCGGTTTCCCATCATCCCCCGGTTCCTTCCCTCCACCGCCGATGAACTCGTACGATTACCAGGTGAGCGAGGCTGGCGTTGTTTTAAATTTCCTCGGATGTCAGTAACTCTCTGTGAGTCAGCACAGAAAGCAAAGACAGCCCCGAGCTCCACTCTGGAGTTCGTGTACCAACTCCAGCAAAACTGTCTGTCCATATAAGTTGCAGCCAACTGCAGAAGACGTATGCAGCTCCAGATGCTGCCTGGAGCCAGCCGTCATAACTTAAGGACCCACACACACTCCTTTCTTTATTTTCTGAGAGCTCTAACGCAGGAAGGATAGAAGGCTGACACCTATTGGCGGAGCCTTGTCACTTGTCTTTACTTTTGCTGGTCAGAATACCCACAGGCATTTGGCCCTCCTGGGATATCTGGCCTGTGCGATCTGACTGACACTCAGCACTTGACCTCCGCTGTGAAATCCTCCAAGTGCTTCACATTCCTTTTGTTGAGTGTAAGCAGGAAGAAGAAAAATCTCCCTCCTCAAGTCCCTCATTTGATCTAACCAGTTTTCTATCCTAAATGAATGCTTCCTTTGTGAGTTTAGAGACAGAATGTTACATAATTTAAATAAGTTATGCAACGCGTGTAAATTCAGCGCACCTCCCACACAAACTGCACACAGACAGTATAAGACAGCACCCTTGGGATTCGGCTGTGTATCTGTGTTCACGTGGTGTTATGACCTTGATGTAAACTACAGGCGCTCTCATAGTTATGCAGATATTTCAAAAGTCGGAGTGTAATGACGGTTATAGTTCTCAATTCCCTGGTTTTGTTTGACCAAGGGAAAGCGAAACTCAGCCAATCAACAGAGCTGCTGGTTCTGCAAAGACACTCAAACGGTTAGAAAGAAAAAAGCTGAATTCACTCCTTGTGATATAAAATCTGTAGAGCTCTCAGCAAATCTTTGTTCGTTTTTTTTGAAATTGCAGATCATCCTTAATTAAATGCCAGTGGCCATGTTTTTACTACGGACCCACTAGTGTCAGGGTACGTTACCTAAACTCAGGGTAGTGGCCAGTGCTGAACACTGATCTGAAACCAAAATCTGCAGACTTAACTGTGTGGGAAACATTCCTCTATAACTACACAGCGTCTATCACACACCGACATTGTTTAAGGCTTCTGTAAAGTTTAATTAAAATGATATAAAAATGTAGTGAAGTCGTCCTGTTTTATCACATTTTGCAACGGCTGAATTAAAAAAAAAAACAGAACAGAATTTCTCTGATGCGTCGTCGTTGGTCATAGTCGAGTTTGAGCTGCAGTTTGTGTTTCATATTGAACCCAGCTGCTCAAAGATTTTTTTTTTAGCAAAAGCTAAAAAACATTTTTCTCAGTTTAATAATGTTGCATTTCTTTTTTTTCTCCATCTGTTATTATACAGGACAGATTTTGAATTTTCCAGCTAAACAAAAGCATTAAATGTTCCTTTATGGGAAGAGGAAATGATTCTACTTATTCAAGTATAATTTCACACCAAAGTCCTTCAACCCAAACAGTAACTCAGGTGGTTGGTCTCGACCCTCTGATCCAAATCATACCAACCTTTCCTGAATCACAGGTGAAAAATAAATAACTTCCTTGATGTGACGGTGCTTTGGTAAAGGTTCCGGTGGGTTGAGGGAAAGATGGTGTTGAGTAGTGATCTTAATATAAATACAGGAGATTTCAGGTAAAAAACACTCAGAGAAACCAAATCCTGCAAGGTTGGATTGGTGGGTGCAGGTGGGCGGGGCTTGGGGGGGGGCATGGCTGGGAGCGGTGACTGCTTTGTTGTGACATCACAAAGTTACAGGAAGTCCTGACGGCTGGTTTCAAGGCTCAGTTTCTGAATACAGGCTGTGTGCATTTCTCTGTGGACTGAGGCTTTGATGCTTTCACAGTATTAATATAGAAGCTAGACCTGATCTATAATCACACTACACATGCACATCTACCCTTCCTACAATACGGGACCTTTAAAAGCAGCTTTTATGTCCAATGAAACAAGGTTTTGTTTGCTTTAATCATTCCTCCTGGTTTGTGCTGCACATTCTTCCTAACTCTCTTCCCGTGTAGGAAATTAGGGAAACGAAATCCTCAGAACTCGATTTGTGCAAAAATGTTTTCAAAAGTTTGAAATTTGACTTGAGGCTTCAAGCAGCCTGAGTTAATGAAGTCAAGTGGATGTCTTTCAAAGTTACAGTCTTTTCAGTACAAACTCCCTCTTTGTGTTACCATCCCTTCCACCAATACCGAGCACCGCAACCGTCTGAGGAAACACAAAGAGGGCCTCTTGTACTCAAAGGACTGTAAGGCTGGAAAATATCAACTTGATTTGTTTAACTCAGACAGATAAAGTCAGACTTGAAAAAACAAAACATGACTCTATCTTTTAAGATAAATAAACATCTTAAAATTCGTTTTTCATTCAGCACTTAGTTTCTCTCCTTTTCCACCGTTTCTTCATTTTCATCTTAATAGTATATTCGAGGCCTGAAATTACATAAGAAATTAAAAGCCTAATTAGTGCTTTACTGTTTTCATCTATAACTTTTCTTCTTCAATCACACTGGCTGCAGAGTCACCCTGGAAATGAGACCCAGTTCCTTAATACACCGCTGGTATCTTAATTATGTGTCCTGTAACCAGAGCAGAAGTCTGTGACCGTGCCGCACCGCTCAGAAAAAGGAATAGATATCAATCAAGATGTCTTTACATCTTCCTCTCCGTGCCTCTGAAGAGAAATTATACATACTGAATGAATAAATCAGCGGCTAAATGGTATTTCCTCGGAAGGAGGCAGAAATATTCTCCTGTCTTCGTCGCTCTGACTGAGAGAGACGTCTGGATTCTGACACCTTAATGCCGAGAGCTTTAGCAGCAGAGAGAAAGACAAAAGCAGTTAGCTCCCATCATGGCTGTTGTCCACATTATGAAGCCCTACACGGCGAATTCCGGCAAGTCACAAAGACTGCAGTGTTTCCTTTCATCCTCCTCGTTATCACTGTTAAACAAGTTTGCCTGTTTTTCTTTTGTTGATTTGAGACAAGCCATTAGTGTTTTGCTTTGTTTACCCCTGCCCGTGATTGCCTTAGATGTTTTTAAGCAGCAGCTCGGCTCCAAATGGAGGCAAACCCCCTTGCCTGTAATAGATTGTGACAGGTAATCCAAACACATAACATTAGAATAAGAAGCAGTCACTGATCCAGCCAACTCAAAAAGCCCCCGCAGGCAATTGCAAGAAGTCTTCTTGCAGTTGCAGCATGGTTCAGAAGACTAAAAATATATCTGTCATTCCACGGAGAAATTCCCGGGAATTCTGTAGAAAGCCGGCTGCCACTAATGGTCAGATCATCTTAACTACTTTCCAGATTTTTGTGCAACAGTTTTGTTGTTTTTTTTTTTTTTTTTTCTCTTTTTGCTCGAAGATTTCAGTGTCTTTTTCTTATGTTGGAAGTTGTGCTTTCTCCGAGGTGAGAAAACCTAAGATGAATAAATCAGTGAGGTCTCAGACAGCTGGAGTGATCCTGTTACTAGTACTTTGAAGCTCCCTCTGATAATAAACTAGTTTAAAAAAAAAAAAAATCAGAGCAATTCTTATCATCTTTTTACAGCACACTTAAAAATATGGACTAAAAAAAAGAAATCTGACTTTCATTTTAAAGAATTGACCTTTTTATTTGAAATGTTGGTGGATGAGATTGTGATGAATAATGCATGAAGAATGAGATACTGTAAATCCAAGTGCAGTGAAAAGCAGGAGGTGAATAGTGCACTGCGTTATGAAAGTTGTCTCTCAGACAATACATCACTTCTTATTTCTCACTGCGTTTCTCTCACAGAAAAATAAAAGTCTCTGCTATTGATGTGTGGCTTTCAAAGGGATTGTCTGAGGTCAAGGTGAAACATGAACTTAGAAACTGTAATCCAAGGTGTAAGAAGTATGGAGAGAAAAAAAGAAAAAACACATCTCAGAGGCAGAATCACTCGTCATTGATGAAGATCTGTCCTTAACTTTTGAGAGCAGCTGGTGAAGGTAACCGAGTGTCGTTACCGACTGTTTTTTGGTTTAAGTTCAGCCGCTGGTTAACTTAACGCCGCTCTGCACCTTTTTGTGACCGTTTTGCCGACAGATGAAAGGACCGGAGAAGACGCTGGAGGAGAGACGCTCCAGTCTGGACGCCGAGATCGACTCGCTCACCAGCATCCTGGCAGACCTGGAGAGCAGCTCGCCCTACAAGCCGCGCACCGCACAGGTATGACGCTGCGGGCGCCGCTGCGCACCTGTGCGCACGAACACACACAGACGCTGAGCGGTGGAAAAGCAACAAGGCGTCATAGTGATGTCATCGGGGTTATCTCAGTTTGACATTGTTAACAGGGAGGGGAGGATTGCGTTACAGCCCTCTGTGGCAGGGAGGGCGATGAAACACGATCACCGTAGAAACACTTTAAGATGATAGTGATACGCCGATTCAAAAACTGTGCACCTGTTTTACACACCTCTTTTCTCACCACTCGATTTTTAGTTTTTAAATGCATTTAAATATATGCTCTGGTTGTTGTTTATATAAATAATACTTAATAATAATAATAATAATAATTATATCTATAGGTACCTTTCAAGCCGCTCAACGACACCTTACAAGACAGAGTGAGAGATACAAAGCTTTCAATGCAAAATAAATATAAAATAAATATAATTGCATTGAATGCTTGTGTTGGAGTTGAACAGAATAGGCAGGTTTGAAGATTGGAAGAGAATCAATATTACAGATGTCTTGATACAGATGACAGATACATATCTGTAGATGTAAATCACTGAGCTCTTGTGTCTCTGCTGTGAATATTCTCAGGTCTCACTCGAAGATAAGATCTTGATCTCACTGTATGTGAAAGAGGAATTCAGATTTTACATAAAGAAACAGGCAATACGCTCGTAAAATACATTTATCACGAGATGAAAAATGGTTTCGTGCAAATAATTCTTTGAGCCCAAAGATGTAAATCCAATATTTCACAAAAAAAAAAAAGGGAAAAGATTAGAGAAAACAAGAATATAACTGTGAACAACCCTCATTAATCTGATGACCACACTTATCTTGTGGAGGCAGCCTGAGCCTCAGGTTGGGATCCACTGTACTAAACTACCTAAACACATCCATAATTACCTAATTAAATAACATAATTAAAACTTCTTCAACCAGCTACAACAATAAAAGGCTCCTTATGAATTAATACATCAGTTATGATAATTTAAAATGATTCCTGAACTACATCTTGCTGATAGTATTTCTTTACTGTTACTGCAGCAGGACCTTTTCTCTTAACTGTATTTCTTTGTTCTTTTTTTTTACATTGTTGTTCAGGTACTTTCAGGTAAAGGATGTGAGTGCTTCTTCCACTTAATGAGAGCTTTTAAACAAGAAGTGAAGTGCGCACTAAAGAAGGTTTAACTGTTGCAAACGAGATGATTTACTGACCCATATGTTGCATCGTTTTTTTTTTTTTAAATGTTTTGACAAAAATGAGTCTTGGCCTATATCATTAGTTGATATTAGATGATATTAAGAGTAACTTCAAAAAGTCAAAGCCTTGGGCAGTTCAGTTAAATTGTTTGACACACAATAAATGTAGGACAGGCGGATAAAAAAACTCCAACCAATTGTGTTTGGAGTGGGAAGGCTCGGAGGGGCTTTCGACACCGTGCAGATCAGGTCTCATGTGAGATATTCGAGCAATAATGTGATACCTGAAAGGGTGTTCTCCGTGAGGGAGATGTGGCTGCACTATATTTAGGTTTAAGTGTTAACAGAGTGTTTATTCTGCAGGGCTATTTACTGTGTCGTTAGCATGTGGCGTGGTGTCAAAGGATGCATACATTAGGCTGAAAGCAGGGTTCAGACGATAAATAATTGACGGATCAGTTGGTTTAGCTGCAGACGAGGGTCCGATGTACATCCACTGACCCCACGGTGTGTCGTTGGTGCGTTAGTGACGTTTATGTAGAGCTGAGAGAGAGAGAGAGAGTTGGAGAATATAAAAGTACATATGAAAAGTTGCGTTCACGAACAGTCTGAGAAACGTGGTATTTTCTGGGTGAAAGCCTGCACGTCGACAAAGACAAACAAAAGACTGATGGTTGCAAGTTGCTCACGTCCTTTGGTTCTTTTCTGGTCAGAGGGAGTTAAAAACGTAGATGAGCCTGACACAAAGTGAAAATGATCGCACCGCACAAGGGGGGAAACAAATGGCGGAAAACACAGTGACAGACGGCGAAGCCTGTGGTTCTGAAATGACACACATTATAGACAATAAGTAAAATGTGACTGGATGGTTTCTAGTACGCTCGGTGTCGTGGTGAGTCCGTCTTCCTGGGTGCAGATGTTGCTGTAATGACATGACATTATGTGCTCATGAAGAATGTTGAAGGGTGTGACCCGCAGTCTGCGTAGATCTACAGGTGTCAGGGCGTCTGTCCCCAGACCTTTGCTGCATGTCGTTCCCTCTCTCTCTCTCTCTCTCTCTCTCCGTGACTTTCCTGTCTATCTAAGCAGAAGCGCCAAGAAGATCCACAGGTGTCTGCACAGGAGCAATGTAAGGCTCCGTGACCCCGCTCGCTGTCAGCCTGACGAGGTCATAACTCCCCCCTCCCTGTGGAGACCTGTTTACATACAACATATCTGTTTCCTTTATTTTATTCTCTCTTGTAAACACACGCAGACAAGTATTTGTGTACAAACTGAGGCCTCACATACATGTGGTCTATAAGGACAAACTTTTTTTCTTTTTTTTTTTTTTAAGATGTGAAGCCACCAGCTGCTGAAATGCATTTTTTTTTTCCTAAATAAAATATAGTGTGAGTGCATACCTTTGTATAGGGATAAAAACACACGCGGTGTATATTAGTGCAGGAGTCTGAAAGCTGTTGTCAACATGAGTTGAAAAATTGATGTGTACCTGCACAGCTCTGTGAGAGCCCAGCTGGCGAAGTGAGAGGGTGAACGGTCATACTGACTAATGTATGGCCGTCGTGGCGGTTTTACCCGTCAGGGTCAAAGTCGCTGCGCATTTATTTTTACTATAACCTGCCGCAAACCCCTCGGAGTTCTGGGTGAGAAGCCACGCCACCTGTGTCTCAGCAGAGTACACATACAAGCCATGACATGTATTAATCATGAAAGATGATGTATCAGACATTTTGTTGACTTAACCCTGTTTTCCCAGTCAGCATCTCTGCGCTATCATGATGCCCTTTCCCTGTTTCTGTGTCTCCTCTCTGGGCTCTTTGCACATGGAAAAGATTCTGCTTTCTATTTAATTGTTTATATTTCAGTATCATGAGCATATGCACACACACACACACACACACACACTGTTACTCTCTCTCGTCAGCTGATGCTGATTCTAGCTGATTAACTCAGGTTGACCTTTTCCTCCACCCAGCTGTTCTTGTCAGTCCGTGCTTGCTTTCTTTCTATGCATTATTCTACAGTGTAACGCTGCTCTGTGTGTGTGTGTGTGTGTGTGTGTGTGTGTGTGTGTGTGTGTGTGTGTGTGTATTGCTCCAGCTTTCAGACCCCAGCATTGGCACAACTGCTGCACAGTAATCTTCCGCTTGTATAAGCAAAGAGTAACGAGTGCTCCTGATTTACAGCTTTCTGCGCACAAGCAATTACAGAGCCAGCTCTCCAAAATCAATAGGCCAGCCCGCCGCCCTCCCGCTCAGGCTTCTGGGAGAGGACTCTTCCTCTCGATGTTAAATTTGGAATCAGCGAGGGGACCTTATGCGTGCTCGCCTCCCAGATGAAATTGAAATGGACGTTGCTGCTCATTCATAAAAAATCTAAGGAGCATTCCTGCAAACATTCAGCCGGCACTGATGCTTCCCAGACATCAAAACAATTTTGTTTGCTTTAGTTGGTATTCTCTGTGGCATAACAGTGGGTAATGAAATGTGATCATTATATAATTCCCATTTGTTCTCTCTCCACTTCCATCTTAGATGTCATTTGTTGTTTGACACAGTTAACTAAGTTTGTGTTACAGTTTGTTTGCTTCATCCTGCGACAGCGCAAATCAAGACAAGCCTGATAATAACGGTAGACTCTTTATTGGAGGTAGCTGTTCCTTCTTCTGATGCCATATCTGGATCAGACGTGTTCGACTATTCTCACACACATATTATTTGACACTTGTAATATTTTTCAGTTCTTATCAGTCACGTAGAAAAACAATTACGTCGTTGTCTAAAAGGTGATTCAGTTCCAGTCATTTGTTTGACTCTTTTCAGGTAGTTAATTCAACCTTTGCATTTAATTACATGGCACGCAGTTTGTTAAACATGCAGCATCCACTCGCAGTCTACAGAAGTTCTGTTTCACTGAGTCACATGAACACAACACGCACTCAGCAGACGGTAAAGTAAAAGAAAAACAAAAGTAAAGTATCAGATTGATTTATTTCTTTTTTTGGGGGGGTTCAGTTGCTGGAAAGAGTGTTTGTGTGAACATTTTGGTCGTTCCAGTGTTTGCCTGCATAGAGTGTCATTAAACTCTATGAGACCCAAACGTGACGATCTGGATCGTCAAAACCCGTGTTTTCAGCGTGGACACCTGCTCGCCGCTGGTTTACAGGTTACAGTAACGTGGTGAAGGTTTAGCTCGTACACCTTACAGCAGCTTCACTGACACAGTTTTAGACATAATCGGTCACCTGACGAACTGTCCGCTGCATATTTTCCTCCGTGCATTAAACACGGCTTCTGATCCCGTCGTGATGAGACGTAATGACTCTTGTAGTCTTTAATTTAAAAGTCTGACTCGGTTATTCGAGGAAACACAAGAGAAGCGTGTTCGTGCTAAATCCTTCCAAGTGTGCAGCGCTGCAATCTGAGCCCGACCAGCCCCACTAATGTGCAGCGTAGGCCTGTCTGAGCACATCAGATCTGTTGTGGGTGAGTTAACAAGGAGGCCCAGATGAGTGTCAAAATACTGCACTCATCAAGCGCCAGAGCAAGTTTGGTGTGGAGGCTGCAGAAGCTTCGACTGCCGTGACCTCTAATTCACACTGACCTCTCCTGTGTTTCTAGTAATCAAATGAATCAGCGTCGCTCCCACTGAGATCCCACGGCTTCCGGTTTTGTGCCGCACTTTTGCACATTGTTGAAAAAGAATTGAATATCAGGATGTTTTTGTTTTTTTTTTTTTAAATATTTTTCGCGTTCAGTTTGTGCCATTAGGTCGTAATTAACAAC